TCTTAAGAAAAGAATGTTTACCTTTTAATTCATGATCTCTTCCATGATTTGAAATAATGCTTGACGACACAAAAGCTAATCTGGAGCTAAGAAAATTCGAACGCACTCATTAATCTATGATTACTTCTAGTTTATAGTTTATTTCTACTCAGCTCTTGCCTTTCGGCATTTTCCTTTCTTTCTTATTTTTATACTCGACAAAACACGAGATTTACTTTTGAAATCAAATAATAAACTTTAGCAGATTCAAAGTATCGTTTCAAATTCATTCCTTTCAATTGAAAAATTCAAAGCAATATTTTAAGCAAGAACAAGTAAATTAATCTGAAGGTGTCTGCACTATGCAAAATAATGGATCAGCGAGCAGGTATGAAATTTCTCTTCGAGTCTGGTTCAACTCGATGTGAGCTCACTTATAACAAACACTGTGTTACATATAGAACACAAAAATTCCTCAATATCATAAATTTCAGAATCAATTTTAATTCATTACTTTTTATAAAATGATGAACAACAAGTATAAAGTCAAAATATGTTCAGTTCATGTTCAATTCAAACAAATAATTTGCAAAGTAACAGAAAGAAAGGTTAACTTACAGTTTCACATTTATCGCTAAGGTTTCCTAAAATCAGTCAAACTCAAGAAAAGTTTGTTTGAGAGTCCAGAAAACGAAGAAGTCTTTTCAGAGCCTGGTGTCCTTTACTTTGAGTGTTCTTGCGTGTCCTTTCATAAACGACCTCGATCGCTCAGTAGCGTAGGTTTTTATAGATAACTTTCCACAAAACAGACAATTCCTCAGAGACACTTTTGTTCAAATTTAACACCATACGTTTTATCGTAGGTAATTGCACTCCACTATGGTATAAATGTCAAATTTTGTCGGCGACATGTTTTTCCAGCTTGACCACAGGTGGCCCAAGCGTAAAATGAGAGTTTTTATGGGAAATAAAGAGGTTGAAACTTAGATAAAATAAATGAACTAAAAGCGATAAAAGTTATTAATAAAGTGTAAATATTGTTACCTCGTGTCATTGTGTTTGTTTTTACGAAGTTTCAGCGCGATTTGAGTACTTTTACATCATTTGACCTGACATTGTAATAATAAGAGACCACAGGTGGCCCAAGCGTAATATGAGAGTTTGTGTGGGAAAAATAGAGTTTGAAATCCTAGACGAAATAGACGAAATAAATGAAGTAAAAGCGATAAAAGTTATCAATTAAGTGTTAATATTGTTACCTGGATTCGTTGTCTTTGTTTTTACGAAATTTCAGCGCGATTTGAGTACTTTTACATCATCTGACCTGACAGTGTAATAATA